AAAAAAAAAAGGCTCTCTAGAGTCAGCCCAGAGGTCTGCCCAGCATCGTGTATCCCACCTCCAGGAGCAGCTGCCTAAAGAAAAGACATGGCACCACTTTGGTGCGACTGCCCAGCTTCCAGCAAGCAGTAGCTTAGGACATCCTGACCCAGCAGCTGCATCTTCTTTAAACACAGTGATACAGTGCTTGTATGACGCCCGACGCGGTGCCTCTCCGGGGAAACGAAGCACAACCATGATCCGCTCGGGGTCAAGGGCAGGTCCGCGAGCCTGCGTTAGAGACCAGGGCTCCTGCCTCCAACCCTGTACTCGTTTCTGGAGAAAGTACAGCCAACCACGCATTACAGGGTTCAGTGTTGAATAAAACGCTCAGTTATGCAAAACCTGGGTCTAAAGCTTGGTTGTGAAAGCAATAGCACCGCCTGGCTGCGGTCGGTCGCTGCTATTCTTGGAGGGCTGTCGGGGCAATGCCGATTGTAAACGGGCCCCGTGCACCGGTGGTCTCAGCGGCCGAGGGTTGCTGAAGCCTGAGGAGCAGTGATGGGGACAGCCGCTGTAGCAGGCCTGTCTTTCGCAGGGGGATTGTTGGTTACCTGACAAATAGCTCGCACCCTCTATGTATGCGCCTGTGTATATACGAGCCCGTATATATGAGCTGTGACTGCATCGTCCTACAAAGATAAGTTTTAGGCTTGCTTTTTTTTTTTTTTCCTGCACAGTTAGTCTCAGCGCGGGACATTTCCTGGGGTTAACAGCTACTGCTTGTTGTTTTGATGGATTTACAGTTCCTTTCCTATCGGAGCTGGTCACTAATCCCTAGGGAGAAACTTGGGCTCCTGAGGCTGGAGTTGAGGTGTCTGAGCAGGATTCCTGTTTCTGTACCTAAGCTCTTCCCTCCTGCTGCCGGCATCTCCTACCTTGCAGGCTGTTATTTCAACTCTTGGAGCACTTGGGAGTTTTCTGTGGTGTTTCGAAGACAGGCAGCTCCAAATACATAATTATGTGATTACGAGGAGAACTCCGGAGTGAAATATATGACTTTCACCTGAGACTGAACGTGGGCTTGCCGGTTGGGTTAATGGAGCCTTCTGATATGCTCCTCCGGTCCTGGAGAGGAGGGAGCTCGGCAGGGAACTCGGGTTACTCTGGGCCGGTGGGGAGGCCTCTGAGCTGAGCCTCAGGACCGTCCCGGGGGCAGCGGTGAAGTCCTTTCCGGTGGGTCCTGAGCTGTGCACTGATTCACCCTTGGTGCTTTGGTTCCAGGCCCTGTGGGAATGGCAGCAGCTGCTGCCGTGGCAACGGGTAAAAAACGAAAGCGACCGCACGTTTTTGAATCCAACCCGTCGATCCGCAAGAGGCAGCAGACACGTTTGTTACGGTAAGGACTCCTGCCTGCACGCTCCTGCCTTGGTCTGTGTCCTCATACCTTTCCGGTGCCATTCGTGGTGAGACCATGTGCTACCCAGAAGTTGCTCAGCTTGGGGCTTTTTTGGCATCTTCAGGAACCAAAGAGCTGTATTTTAATGCGCAGAAATGGATCAAATGGCAGCTCTACTCATCTTTAATGTGGTATTGTGACCAGTAGACTGACATGACCATTCTGGGAGGATCCACCGTTCTGTTTTAATCCCAACTGGCCACAAGTCAGGTCTGTCATGGTAACCTTGCCTTATCAGATAGTCTTAGTGGCCTTAACAACAGCTGTCCTGAGAATCTGGAGGTGCAGCCACATCCCAGCTCTGGTGTGGCACAGAGGATGTACCTCCCGACTGAAGGAGATCTTTTTGGCATTATGCAGTGATCCTTCTGAGTCGTTCCACAAGCTGTGAGTAAATGTGGCATGTGTACCTGAGTTTCCTTTGCCAGCCAGAGCCTGTTGTGGCTGCGCGAGGTCCATGCTGAAGAGTGACCCAGCCCGTAGTACACAAGGGAGGAAGAAGCGAGGGAAGATGCCTGGCCGTGCTGAACCACATCTTCTCTAGGTTGAGAAACTACAGAATCTCTTGGTCTGTGGACAACAGATGTATTTAGCCCTTCAGCAGGTGTTGCATTACAAGTGCTCTGGGGTTTCTGCCCACCTGGTGGCTAGATAGGAACACGGATGCTGACGTGTCTGCAGAGACTTTCCACAAGCCTGTAAAGATCATCTGCAGTTGTGTCTTCCTGAGACGTTTCTAAATATTGGCTCGTCCCATTTGGAGACTTTGGAACGAGGCAGTTTTTGCTTTTCAAAGTGCTTTGTTTTTAATCAAGTTATCTCAGAAAAGTTTGAAGTTTTGTCTCCCCGTGCTACTTGCTGGCTTCCTTTCCCCTGCCTGCACACTTAATGCACTGAAATAATAATGGCCAGTTTCACCTTTTCTCCTTCTTTCCTATTATAGCTCTTGTAAAATTGTTGAGAAACGAAGTTGGTTTCGTTACATTCTGCTAACTCATCCCTCTGAATCATATAACACCCTTTGCACGTGATCAAGCTGAAAAGAAATATAGCAGGGTTAGTGTTAAATAATATTCACTGGGAGTGGATTCCTTCTTTTAAACCACTGTTTTTCCCTCGTTCCCCAATGCTGCTGATCCAGCTATGTTTATTGCAATGTTTCTGAAAAGCAAATTTTGTTTCCTCTTGAAATGTAGCCAATATATTTTTAAAGAAACTCTTCTGTAAAGGACTTGTTTCTTCTCCCTTCACGTAATTACAGGTGACTTGTAAAATACTGACAAATGCATCATCTTTGTGCGCTTTGATCAGCTTAACGTGTTTGTGCTTGCTACTTACACCACCGTGAATCAAATGGGAAGTTACAATTTCTGATTCTGGGATCTTTGCAAGGCCGATGGTGGTGGTGCTACCTTTTAGCAAAGTGTCTGCTGTTCACAGGAGGTTCTGAAATGGCCAGTATAACTGATAAATTGTGACCTCATGGCAATGCTAACGTTTTCTAGTGATTTCTGCTGCTTCGCTCTTGCTTTATAAATTTCTGCCAAAGTTTCTGACATGTTCTCTTGCATTGTTTAAAAGTTAATAAGAGGAGGAAAGGATATGGCGGTTCTTCCTACAGCGAGATCGTTCCAGAGGGTCCTGCTGATGTAGCAGCTGTCTGAATACACTGGTTTCCTGCGGTTAGCTGTTGCAATATTTCTTGTTCTTGCCTGGCATGCAGTTGTCAGCTGAATGCTTACCATTCTGTTTTTGAGTAGGACTGGGATACTAGAGAATTGCATTGTATTCTTCTGAGGCTGAATGTAAAATAACTTGTGATTGAAGTCCTCTTTTGTTGGAACATGTTGAGTACCCTGCCTTAGAAGTTTTGTATCCCTGATACACTTGGTCAGTGACTGAGCAGATAAGGCAAAAAAATGAAAAGTGGGAGTGGGATTAATTGATATCTGAGCTGCTGTGTGACTGAAGGGAACACAGCAGGCTTGCGGGAGCAGTGCAATCAGCATGTGGCTAATCTGACCGACTGGGGCTGCTTTTCCCACCTGGTTTGTGAATGAGTAGCATTAGGAAAGGGAATCTATAATGTGAAAGGCTGCATTTGGACTGGGCTTTCAGCTGATATCTATTGACTGTTCTGTGCCTCTGTTTCAGGAAGCTCCGAGCCACGCTGGATGAGTACACCACCAGAGTGGGGCAGCAGGCCATCGTTCTGTGCATCTCTCCCTCCAAGCCCAATCCTGTCTTTAAAGTATTTGGTGCTGCACCCCTGGAGAATGTGGTAGGTGTCTCTATGAAAAGCTGTATCATAAGTTGCTCATCCTTTCTGCAGGTCTTGTTGCAGCTCAAGGCAGCTGTGCAAGCCTGGTAGTGACCTAAATGTCACATTTAAAACCCTGGAAATAAGAGCTCAGACTGTATGGACGTGAGTCTAGCACTGAAGACCTGTCTGCTCTGCATAAATATCGATTACCTAGCACATCTCACCACAGCTGAATATCCTTGACTGAAATGTCCCCTTCTACCACTTCTGTATTGGAAGTTGAGTGGGTGTCTGCATGGCGCCTTCACCCTGAAGTAGCTACGTTTCAGCATGCTAGTGCTTAAGTTGTGGGTCCTTCCTTATCAGCCTTCACAGCTAGGGGAGGAAAGAAAGAAGTGGTGGGCCCTGCCCTTGGTAGCCAGCTTATGGGCCAGTTGTGGCACACTAATCTCGACTGCAGCTTAAGCTTCTCCATGCCTTAGTCCTGTGCAATGTGTGTTCGAGGCAGCCCCCTCTCTGCTGGAGATTACAGGTGTGCCATTGAATTCAGCGGGGTCAGGTAGTGATGATGTGTTTGAAATCGGCTCTGCTCTCACTGCTTGCACCTTGCCGTAGGCCAACAGAAAATGGAGCAGTTCCTGACTGTGACGGGTCTTGCTTCCAAACTTTTCTCTAAATCCCATGCATACTTCCACTTGCCAGTGTTACCTGGTGTTTCATCATCAGCTCTTTGATGCAGCCAAATCTTCAGGGCCAGTGGGTATTTTTACTTACCAGCTTAGCATTGTTTGCTCCTTCTGTTCTGCAGCACCTCAGGGAAGGTGTCTGGCCCTGCTTCCCGTTACCTAGCACCCTTACCTCTCCTGGTGCTCCTTACCTTGTTTACCCAAGCTTAACGATTCCCCACAGGTACGCAAGTACAAGAGCATGATTCTGGAAGACCTGGAGTCCGCACTAGCGGAGCACGCCCCTGCGCCTCAGGAGGTTAACTCAGAGCTGCCGCCCCTCACCATCGATGGCATTCCCGTCTCGGTGGACAAGATGACCCAGGTAAGCAGCCAGACATGGCGGAAACTTGGCAGAACTAAAGAAGAGATTTGGCATCTTACAGTCAAATCCTGGTATTTTGCACTGGAGCTTCTGTCTGCGTCTCCAGGGGCTGCATTTAATCTCTTCTTTCCCATGGGACTGTAGGAGCTCAGGTAGTAGTTAGGTGTGAAGCTTTGTCATTGGTGCTTATTTTCTACAAATAACTGCAGAGATGTTATTGAGGGCTAGAGCTCAGGCTGCTGGGGACATTCCCCTTTGAGCTGTTTTTGTCACCTCCCCTGAATTATGAAGAGAGAAACTTTGTCCTGCACTTTGCAGTGATTTTCAGGCACTGAGGTCAAGAAGGTGTCTTGTGGATTGCGAGCAAAGTACCGTTCTGCTTTATCCTCCTTGGATGTTTCTTGTATGCTTAGTTTGTTCCCTCCTCCTCTTTCTGACTGATGTAGACGGACAAGCTCCTCTCTGCTCCGATTGCTTTAAGTCCAGCTCAAACCCTGCTTTCCTGCTTTAGGAACAGGGGATGAGTGAGTTACTTCTGATGGAGGCAGGGAGTCATCTAGCCTAGGGAAGCAGAGGACTCCCTTTCTGTCCAGGCCCAGCCCTTTGCTGTTGTGAGACCTCCTTATTGCTAGGAGAAAGGGGAGAAGGCCCCGGAGGGAAGACTCCCTGGTATGGGAGGGATCAGCTGTAGGGAAATCTTCTTCCCGGGGTGCAGGACCTGAATGTGGGCAGCTGTGCTATGCAAGAGGCTCTGGGTACGCTCAGTCTGATGCGCCGTAACACATTTTAAATGCTGAAAGCCAGGATCTTCAGGGGAAGAGGGAGCAGCAAGATGGAAAGATCAGGGGGCTTTGGACAATATGCACAGAGGTATTGTGATAGAGCAAAGATGTGCTACTTTCCAACGTGCTCTGCAGAAAGATCACATTCTGGTCAAAACACCAGTTCCCGCACTTGGGTATAATCAGATAAGCTCACACTTTTAATACAATTTTACAAAGAGGACAACTGCATCTCAGCTGAGGCATAACAGATCCTGTTTCTAATCTGAGACAACACAAGGCAAAACTTGGGAGTTTTATAAGCCGCTGTGGAAGGTGGTATCTGCAGTTTGCCTCAGAGGAGTGCTGCTCACAAGCAGCTTTTGTTTTGGGTCATTAACAGTTTCGCAAAGTAGGTTAGAGTAATATGAAAGACCACCACGTGTACGTGGGTGTGTAGCTCTGAGTTCTGTTATTTGTATTAGCAAAACAAACACTTGGGGTATCTGATTTCTATATGGCCTCATCGTTGTAGTAATTAAGCCTAGGTTAAAAAAAAAAAAAAAAAAACAGGACTTAAAACAGGGGGAAAGAGACATTGAAGCGGAGATTTGTTGCACCACAGGGAGGTTGTCCTAGTGCGGTATGAGTAGTGAAATAGGAGATACATATGGGCTCCGAGGAGGGAACGAAGAAAAAGTGCTGTTGCTAATAGAGGGGTGGGAAGAAAGGAGAGACTAGAAATGAAGGTGGATGGATAAGATCCAGGATGTGAGGTTATTGCAGTACAGTAACATATCTGAGAAACTTCTTTGGTTTGCAATGTGCAGAATATGTGCGCATATATAAAAAGGCCAATGAAAAGATCTGTCAACTCTCTGACTGTTAATGTTGCTGTCAAAACAGCAATAAAAGTGACAAACTCTCACTTCAGAGAAGCCTTCAACTGGATTTATAATGCATATTGTTTATTTTTTGTGATAGAGATGGAAATTAAATATTTTAACCTCAAGGATGGCTTAAGTGTTTCCTATTTCCCCTCCAGACTTGGCTATACAAGCTCCGTACAATTCTACAAATACTTCTTGCGTTAAGTTAAAAATAAAAACAGGTTTTTTCCTTCTAGACATGGCATGGCCTTGGTCTTCAGGAACTCTTGCACAAAGATTTGGCCTAGCTAAGTTGCCCCTGGCATTTGATTGCTCTGTGTTTCCTTGTGGGAGGCGGTTCTCCAGTCCTAGGCGCTAGTTCTGCACTGCTGGCAAGGGCTTTTTTCTGTTACTGGGATGGAAGATGCAAAAACCCTTACAGAAGCTGAATCCAGTCTTCCTCAGTCCAAGAAAGACTGCCGTAGGATGGAGAATATGCATGACACAAGTCAAATAGCGCCCTTACCCCAAAGAATTGATCGTCTTTGTATGGCGCCCAGAATAGTGAGGACGCAATTGCCAGCTGGGATCTGGAGGCGGTCACGGCTAAGTGAAGGAGGACTGTTGACCTGCAGTACCGGGGCTTTGCTAGCCGGTCCCACGCACAGCCCTCCTGCCTTCCCAGACTTCTTGCGGCTCTGTTAAACAAGGAGTGATTTTTCCTCCGCGTTCGGCTCTGAACTTCCGTGAGCAAGTGTGCAAACTGCTGAGGCAACAGCACAGCAGCTCCGAGCCTCTCCGTCCATGGTGCACTGTGGGAAAGCAAGCATCTTATTAGGAGCGACATTCATCCGTGCGGGGCAATGTGGTAGCTGAAAACAGTCCACGGTTTCTTGGAAGCTGTGGACAGACTCCACGCTTTTGTGCGCAGTTGAACTAACCGTTAGTCCCTTTCCCCGGTTAGCAGAGCCGCTGTGGGGTGTACGTGCTGTGGGCCGTGACCAACATTTAGCCCTCCGTTTCCCTGCATGGGTTATAGAGATGGCTTTTTGTAAATGTTGTTAAAATGCTTTGAGATCCTTGGATGGCTGCAGGCCGTTCTGAGGATAAAGCATTGCATCTAATTGGCAGGACTGCGACTTCTTGGGTAGATTTTCACAACCCACAACCCTTGAAAAATTTTCAAGGAGTAAAGATGATACTTAGGTGATAATTTTGTTACAGAAAGAGTCCAGCTCCTGTGGCTGTATAGTCTTTGCTAGACTCGAGGACAAACTTTAAAATTAGAAACAATACACAGATGCGCTGAATAAGATGAAGCCACGATGCAGTCGTTTCTCTGCCACAGCGGCAATTTGAAATGCGCAAGTTTGAAAGAGCGGCCGACAAGGCTGACTCCAAAATCGCTGCAACCTGCTGCACAGCTAGAGTTGCCACCGTGTGCTGCAGCAGTCTCGATTCCCAGAACTGCAGACGCAATTCTTTGCATTTGCTAACAAGAAAGGAGCCTTTTCAACTAAGTTGTACAAAGCCCTGTGGAAAACGGAAATATTTATAAATATAAATTGGGCAGCGCAATTAAGAGGAGCGGAAAACCGAGGCCGCCGCGGGTGCCAGCAGGCAGGTGGCAGAGGCGTTAGCTCCTCAAAGAGCAGAGGAAAATATCTCTCCTTTTAATTGCTCCGCTTCCTTGGTGGTCTTGAGGGAAATAAAACCTTTACTGACCTGTGCAAAGATGTTTCTATGAACTTGTGAATGGAGAGTATCACCACCCACCTCAGATGCGTAGGAAAAATGTATTGCAGTGCGGCTGGGACCCTGAAGCCGTTATACAGAGAAATCGCTTTGCTTTGTAGACTCTGGCTGGTTTGACACTACATGTCAGAGCTGTTTTTGTCCGTGAACTTGTTCTCAGTTGCTCGCTGGTGTCACTAAGGAGTAAGGCTGGCGAATGCTGAGGCCAGTACTTCGCTCAGCTCTCGCTGAGGTCGCTAGGAGTTGTTTATGCTTTCCTGAACAGGTCATTTGCCCTTTAATCTGACTTTTTTTTTATTTTTAATTATCCTCCTATGACTTGTAGGCTGCTTATAGAAGCTCACAAAACTTTTATCTTGCCTTCTCGAAAATCCCGCTTGACCTCTGCATGCAGCTGCGCAAAAAGTTTTAGCGTATAGAGCAGATAGCTTTATGGAGCTGTGGGCCTGTACGTAGAAGCCAAGCGTGGAAAAATGATAACTAAATTCGGTGCGATACTCTCAAACTGTCTTTGCAGACGGGCAACGCCGCCCGGCAGTTGC